TCTTTTGGTTTTTTGAGACAGGGTTTCTCTGTATTGTTTTGGAGGCTGTCCTGGAACTAACTCTTGTAGACCAGGCTGGCTTTGAACTCACAGAGATCCGCCTGCCTCTGTCTCTTGAGTGCTGGGAAAGGCGTGCACCACCACCGCCCGGCATAGGCATCTCTTATAAACACAATCGCCACTGTCTCCCCAGGCCTAATTTCTGACTTAGTATCATTTGCTTTGAATTTCAACATCACCATTACTGCCTCGATCTTTCTAGAACAGCGTTTTCATCTAGTAATGCCCTGACTGAAAAGAGTCCTTAGGAGTGGCAGGCACCCGTCCCCTCGAGACTCCCTGGACCTGGCCCCATCCCAGGGTCCCTCTGCAGATCCGTGAACAACAGAGCCTTCGCTCTGGCTGGGTCCCCTGCTCTGCTTCAGCAAACCCCCTTCCTGATTCAATTTCTCCTCCCAAGCAGCGTCTCATCGAATCTTCCAGAGGACCAGGGAGGGGCTGCTTTCAGCTTTGCAGACGAAGGAACCAGAGTCTGAGACTCAAACGGCACACTCGATGCTGTGTGGCGAGGAGGAGGGAGAACCGGCATCCAAACCCAGGCACCAGGAAAGGAGGCACTCAGCTCTTCACTATTACACTGGACATGTGCGTGAGGGTGTGTATGTTTGTGCATGTGTACATGTATGTACAAGTATGTGTGTAATTGGTGTAACTGTGTGCATGTTTGTGCATGTGTACATGTATGTACGGGTATGTAACTGTGTGCATGGGTGTGAGTGTGTATGCATGTGTACATGTATGTACAAGTATGTGTATGTGTGCGCATGTATGTGTGCGTGCATGTACGAGTGTGTATAACAGTGTGCATGTGTGCAACTGTGTGTACACATGTGCATGTGTGTGCAAGCTTGTGCATGTATGTGTGCAAGCTTGTGCATGTATGTGTGCATGTGCAAGCATGTACATGTATGTGCATGTATGTACGAGTGCATGTGTGTGTGCACAAGTATGTACATGTGTGTGTCTGTATGTCTGTATGCATTTGTGAGTGCATGTGAGCATGCCTGCATGTGTGTGTATGTGTGGTATGTGTGTGTGGGTTCAGGTATCCACACACACAAGCAGAGGCTGGAGGAGATATCCATGCCCTGCTCTTTCAGCCTTGGCTTTATTCCCTAGGGACAGGGTCTCTCACAGAACCTGAGCCTAGGCTGCCAGCCAGCAAGCCCTGGTCATCCTGTCTGGGCTCCTCCTCCTCCTGGCACATGTGTGTGACCTGCCCAGCTTTCTATATGGTTTCTGGGGATTTGAACTCAGGCCCTCACCTGTACAGCATTCTTATGTTCAGCCATCTCACGGGGCCACCTTTCTTGTTGGTAGAGACTGTCACACGGATGGATAAGGCATTTGTCATGAAAGACGAAAAAGGGCAAATTCACAAAAAAATGGAGACATGCCACAAAAATTCAGAAATCATTGCCTGCACAGTAACACGTTATTAGGATTGTAAGTTATAACTGGCCAGAATTCTGAAACGGTTGCTCATGTGATCCTGCGAAGGAGCCCTACTGTCCGTCCGTCCAGGGGAGGCCCTACTGTCCGTCCGTCCAGGGGAGGGGTAAGGCAGGGGGGATGGGTAGAGGCTGCTAGGGAGCAGCAGAGCCAGGAATTCGCCCAGGAAAGAGCTCACCATTACATCTACTGTCGGGTGTTGCAGCAGACGATTCCCTTCCAACCTGAACATTTGTTTGCAGAGGGAACATAACGACAACTGAAAATTATCTTTCAACTATGAAAAGCCATCGCACCAAGGAGAAAAGCCAAATGCCGGCGGAGAATGTCTCCCTCCCTGGGAAACAGGCATACAACTCCGTCTGAACGGCTTTCAGTTCTGCCCAACCAGAGCGCGCCCTGCTACCTGTGGGAGTTCCAGCCGCAGGCAGAGCCACAATGCTATAGAGAGAGACCTATGAAGAGGAGGGGAAACAGAAAGACAGGCTGGGATGCTTCTCGCGCTCATCCACCAAACCCACGCACAATCAGATTCCAGTCAGACACCCTTTGAGTTGGGAAGGCTGAGTGTAGACAGCAGCCCACTCCTGCTCAGGTACCTGAAAATAGACAGGAGCTGCAGGGAAATGCTCATTCCACCCGCCCCCCACTCTTTCCCGTGGGAATCTGGTCCCTTAGCTGCTAGTAAACTCAGGAGGCTGGAGTGTCGTGAGGGTTAGAGGACAGGACTTAACCTCTGTCCGTCATGCTTTCAAAAGGCATGAGTCGGCCGGTGAAAGTTGGTAATGTCCCCGCAGCCCTATAGGTGCCTTTCACCATCCCCTCCATTTGAGAACATGCACAGTCCTTGGAGCTAATTTGGGGCAATGGGGTAGCATTCCTGGCTTACCAGGAGCACTGTGCGCATGCTTAGGAAACAAGTCAGAGCCAAGGGTAAGAACGTGGGGAAAAGCATGCTGGAGTGGGGGCTGTGGTCGTAGCTCAGTTGGTAAAAAGTGTTTGCTTTGTCAACATCAAGTCCAGTTCCCCCGGGATCCATGCAGAAAAGGCTGGGTGTGGTGGTAGGCTCTTCCAACCCCAGGGAGATATTCTGTCTCAAAAGACAAGTTAGGCAACCCCTAAGGAACGACAGCAGACGCTGTCCTCTAGACTCTACCTGCATGTGTACACACGTGTACTGGCACGCACGTGTGCATGTGTACACAGACACAGAGAGAAACACAGAGGTCAGAATGACACAGGCAGGACAGACAGACAGGCAGCATTGATGCCTCTGTGTTCAGTAAGCAGGGAGACAGAGCATTTTGGATAATTTTATTGCCCTAGAGGCTTCTCTCCCTGCTCCTTGCCTCTCTGCTGGTCTCCTGTGGTCTCTGTTTCCTTCTTAGCAACTAGGAAAAAGCAGCAGCAGAATCCGCAGTGCACCTGTGGCTCAGGGACCCCAGCTTGAAGGCCAGAGAGGCCGTGGACCACTGATGTGGCTTATAGAGGCTGTGAAAGTCAACGACGGGGAGTTACACACGAAAAGAAAGTCAGGCCCTGCTTCTCAGGAAGTCTCTTGCCAAGTATAAAAAGCATTTTTCTTTTAAAGATAGGAATGGCTGTCATAGCAGAATAGTTTTGAAGTTGAGGCAATTCTTGGAGAACTACAAATAGCAACCAAATGTTTTCTAATTATGTGCCTATGGCATTCAGAAAGCTGCTGAGAATTCCCGTTACTCTAGAATCCGTGGCCTGCTTAGTCTGGGGATTTTGCACGCGAATAACCAGATCAGAAGAGCTCTCCTTCATAGATGGCTCTCACAACCTATGAATACCTTCTGGTATTTGCCTAAATAGATAGGAACTTCTTAAAAATGCAAAATACTTTGGGTGAAGCAGTTGCAGCAAAATGGGATTTTATTCAGTGGAAGCAGGGGAGAAAATAAAGTTTGGTTCCACAATTTGTACACAAGCAATTACAGTTAAAGCTAGTATTAAAACACAATGTTCCTTAGCTGCCTACATTTTTATACTCAATTAAAATTTTTATGGACATTAACATGAATGTCATACAAAAAGAGAAGACATAGATGTATCCAAAAATTTTATATTAGCATCTGCTTATTGTACAAAATGATGAGTTTCATTGTGATGTTTTCATACTTGTATATGAAGTAGAATAAAAATTAGGATCTATTAGATGAGGCTTCCATAGGACTGCAAGATGCTATGCATATTTCTAAGGGATAGAAGTCATCAAAAATCTTACCCAGCTGTGAACCCTGTGAGTGACCACAACCACCAGCATAGCATCGACCACGCGATGGAGCATGCTCCCAAGTTGCATGGCTTGAGACAAATGGAAGCCATTTTAGAAGAATCTGCTTTTGTTTCCTTAAGCTAAACAGTTTAGAGTACTTGATGAAGCAAAAGGGAGACAGAAATCCAGGGGTCAGAGAGTGACATCTGCCCTCATCTGTCAGTAGCAGGCTTGAGTGACTTTGAGCCTCAATTTCCTACCTAGCCAAACAGAGAGCTAGCTGACCTACAGGACCTCACCATGGATCATGGGAACACAGCCTCTCCCACCACAGTCCTGTTCCAACTGTCGTCAGAAGAACTCCTCTAAGGCTTTTACTAAGTAATTTTCAAATTAAGCCCTGCTAGAGGATGGGGTGACCAGTGCTACCCAAGGTGGCTCTCTCAACGGTGTCCAACTGTTTCTCTTGGGTAGAGAGTTGTAAGAGCGGTGAGGGATCTGAAACCACAGCACAGCCCTAATCATGTCTTAACTCTCCACTGGGTTCCTTATCAGGTTGCTGTCCCCCAGTGGTATGCCACAGAAACACACCTGTCTAGTATCCTGTCATGTGTGTACACGGCATTTTCTTCTTCCCTCCCAATGGTCAGAATCCAGTCCCTATGCAGATGTCAGAATCCAGTCCCTAGGCAGATGTCAGAATCCAGTCCCTATGCAGATGTCAGAATCCAGTCCCTATGGTGATGTCAGAATCCAGTCCCTAGGCAGATGTCAGAATCCAGTCCCTATGCAGATAGTTAGAATCCAGTCCCTATGCAGATAGTCAGAATCCAGTCCCTATGCAGATGTCAGAATCTCTTACACATGGGCTGTTTTCTGTGGGACTTGGTCTATGTGCCTTCACTAGACAGCAAGCTTCCTGAGGACTCTATGTTCAGTCTGAAGGATGACACACATTTTGGGTAGTCAGCAAATACCAAATAAATGCAAAGTTTCACGGCCATTCTCCCTCGCTGGCTGTCGAAACGGAAACTGTGATGTCTAATTCCATTTTTGATATTTTTGATGCTTCTCTCTGGCCGGGCTTTAGTAAACACTGCATGATGGCTTTTTCCAAAGAGGGGGAAATGCCCTAGATAGGACTACGCTTGGTGTTGGAGAACAGGATTTTTTCAAAGGAAGACATCTTCCTGAGCTACCTCTGAACCACAAAGACATCTCCATTACGGGCCGCTGGGACACTTACTGCTTGAGCAGGTGGCTTCTTTAGGGCTGGGGGACATCGGCCGTGCACAGAGCTGACAAAGACAGTCTCTCCCGTTGAACGTGACTCGATCTCCGGGGGGGAACGGGCGCCTGGAGACAGAAAGACATTTGCCCTCAAAGTCATTCCAGCGACTTCACTCTCTTTCCTGACTCCTCTGCCTGATACCCCTCTGGTGCAAATTGATTTCTTGGAGACGCACCAGCCTGGATGTTTGAAATGAAGCCTTGCCCCAACCCGCCAGCTGGTCACGGGCCAAACAAATACACGTGCTTCATTGTGAGACAATGCGCTGGTTCTGCAGGCTCCCTGGTTGGAAAGTAGCATGATTTAGTTTCGGTCTACAGTGGAGGGGTGTTGGCTCACATGGCAGTTACTTCCATAAGGAAATTCTTCCTAGAAAACAAGCATTTTAAATGTCATGGATTCCCACTGGAACTAGGGACACACCCCTAAGAGAATTACTTACAGGAGAAGTGGGAGCCCTTCTTTTTTTTTTTTTGCTACCCTGTGGTTTTTGGTAACTATAGTGAGTTAGTTACTTTGTTCTTTTTGGACATCTGAATTTGAAAAGCACTGGGGACCCCAGTCTCTCATAAGCTACACGTGATAGGACAGGTCACTATCAACATCTATTTGAGAATCAGTAGCTTGAAGAGATTGCTCAGTGGTTAAGAGCACTTGTTCCTTCAGAAGACCCAGGTATCTAGTATCCACACGGTCACTCCTAGCCATCTGTAACTCATTTCAGGGGATCCAGTGACATTTTCTGACCTCCACAGACACCAGGCATGCGCGTGGTGCTCTCACATGCAGGCAAAGCAGCGCACATAAAATAAAGTGAATTTAAAAATCACTAGCATTCTGCGTCTCAGAAAGACAAGTTACTTTCCTGAGAGACATTCATCAGTAACAGAACGTCGCATACAGTGAGCCTACTGCAGGAATGCTAGGCCCCAAAGCTTACTCGGAAACAAACCAACTCACCAACCATATTCTTCATCAATGCGAGTTTCCTAATGTGGGACTTTGTCAATTAGGAAATGTGGGACTCACCAGACCGGGCAACATGAATGAGTCGGAGGCCACCAGCCTGGTACAGGTCCAAGCTTCGTGACCTGCATGCACTTCCACAGCCCCTTAACTCATCTCTCCAAGGCCTGACGCTGGTAATCACCTATAATAAACACGCACTGGTACATCTGGACTTAATACCACAATATGATTGGTACCAGTCACCCAGTGTGTGTGTGTGGGGGGGGACTATAGTCTCATGCCTCCAAATGTTGAAAGTCCTCGGGATATCAGTGGCTCCCTCTCTGAAGTGGTACAGTGTCTTTCACTGGACAGATAAAGAGACCACAGGCAGGGATAGGCTTCACTGACCTGCCTTAGGACTGTGTCAGTAAATAAAACCACAATGTGGTGGTCCAAGTGAGTACACATTTACTAAGCTTGAACAAGCCTCTCGTCCATTCTGTGCAGAGTATTAGAGTGCCAGGGGCCCGTAAACACAATACAACAAGCACGGGTTCTTTGGCCTCCACTTAGGGACAGGACCAGGTGAGGCAAGCGAGACCCTTCAGGAAAGCACAGGTGCTCGTTGTCCATGGCTGAGGCAACTCTTGTGAGGCCCTGACAAAAGCGTGCCTTTCTGTGCAGTACCCCGAGAGTGTGGCTGACCCTGCCTGAGCCTAGACCACATTTCCAGTCAATGCATGTCCTCTATGGCACCAGCCAGATTCCATGTGCCCAGTCAGAGACTCAAAGACATCTTCCTTTTATGTTTGACTCGCAAAACAAAACAGTGCATTCCCCTCCCAAGTCTGTTTCCTTCTCTCAGAGTGATCGTTTTCATTAAGCTGTGCTATACAGATACCAAAGTTGTCCCTAAAACGCCCATCAGTGGTGTATCTTCAGGTTTCGTAGACTGTTTGGTCACTGTCAGGGTTCCTCAACCCTGCCACGGGTACCTAGCAGAAGTTCTAGCCTCTATGCAAACAAATAGCTAACAAAACTTTCTTTAAAAGAAAGACCTGTAGCCGGGCATAGTGGTACATGCTCTCAGCCCCAGCCTTTGAGAGGCAGAGGCAGGCAGATCTCACTGAGTTCCAGGTCAGCCTGGTTTACACAGTGAGTTCCAGGATAGTCAGGGCTACACAGTGTGAACCTGTCTCAAAAACAAAACAAAACAAAAGCCTAATGATTTGACCCATGAGACACTGCCAACCAACAGCCTACAGTGAAGATAATGCTTCATCTTCAGAATGAGGCTGTCCTGCTGCGTTGGCTAGGCTGGTCTTGAATGCCTGAGCTCAAGCAACCCTTCCCCCTTCCGCCTTCTGAGTGCTGGGACTGCGGGTACAATACCTCAGTGCCCAGCTATAAGAGGTCACCTGAAGCACATCGATGCAATCACCTGCATTCCCCAATCGGCTTTTTTCCTTCCAAGAAACTCCCTGTCCCTTCCCCACTGTCTGGAGGTCCAGGTCCCTTCATCAGGCATGAGGTACAGCCACGTAACGACTGTCACAGAGGATACGAATAAAGTTTCACTACTCTGCTGCGCTCTAACCAAGAATGAAAAGACAGCAAGAGGAGACACGTTGGGAAGGGGCTATTTTAAGACCTTGTACCACTTGGGACCAGAAAAGCTGTCAGAAGCTTCCCCAGCAAAAGCCAGCATTTTTTTTTTCTGTTGGAGGGAGCCAGAGGCTTGGGAAAGACGGCCACTTACTTGCAGATGGTGCAGGCAAAGCAGTTGGGATGGTACGTCTTGCCCAGGGCAGTGACTACCTCGCCCTCCACGAACTCCCCACAGCCATGGCACCGTGTCCCGTACATCCTCTGGTAGTCCAGGGTGCACAGATAGTCCCCGTTCTTTATGAAGAAGCCTCCTTGGGCGAGGTCGCAGCCGCACACTGTAGAAAGATAAGTTTACAACTGGTCATCGCCTGCCAAACTTCTGGGCAGCATTTGCCTTCTGCCAGATGCTGGAGGCTCCCTGTGCTCTCAGTGGTGTTTGGAGACAGGGCAGGGGACTGGCACAAAGAGCTATTTATTATCAGGCCCTGCTGTCCCCTCCTCCCCTAGAAGCTATGCAATATCTCACACAAGTACAATCCACTGGCTGGGTCTCCATGGTCTCGGCGGTATGTCTAAATTCAGCGGCAATCAGTCAGTCTTTGATGGAAAGATACGCTGCCTTCGGGCTTCCTCAGATGCCAACCAAGGCGTCCCCGGCAGTGCTATTAGGGGAAGGTGCCCACAGCTTGTCCACATGGATACCTGATTTGGGCCAAGATCGCTGAGTAATAAATTCCTGCTGTAGCAACAGCAACAGATGAAGTTTCCAGAGACTGTTTTCTCACAAACCTACTAGGCAGCCAGGGCTTGAACTGGCTCTTTGTATGGCAAATAGGACGCACGGCTCATACGTATGTCATGCATGGGGGATGAAAATGGGCAGGTGACAGAGGGACAGGAAAGGGGACAAGTCCAACAGAAAGGGTCATTTGTGATCTCAGGACACACAAAAAAAGGACACTTTGTTGAGCCTGGGTTTTGGCACCAGCTGCGCATGACAGACGTGACATAGACAGAGTGGATTCCAGGGACCCGGGACTAGTCTGCATGTTCAGACAAAACCCGAGCTGGCCACAACTTGCCCACAAACTAAGCAGCTCCCTAATAACAGTGATCTCCTGCCAGATGCTGAGAAGTCACAGCTACAGCTGGACCCCTCCACCCTCAGCCTCTGCACTCAAGCTCAGGTGACTGCCACACAAGGCAGGGAAACATCTAAAATCCTTTCTGATCGTCTGTAACCAGCTGGAACAGACCCTAGGGCAGGGGGAAAGTGAGCTCGGTCACCAAGTTGCTCTCCTAGGGATCTGGGAGGACACAGGACCACACTGATAAATTCCCATGACTCATTGACAGTCTTAATATAGTGGCAGTGCAAAAAAGAAAATGGAAGCAATGAAACTCTTCTGAACATCAGGCAGAGGCAGGCGGATCTCCATGAGTTCAAGGCCAGCCTAATCAACGGAGTGAGTTCTGGGGCATCTCGGGCTACAAAGAGAAACCCTGTCTCAAAGCTGCGTCGTCCCCCCACATTTATGAACATGTTAGGACTAAAATCAGTTCAAAATCAAATGAGCAGTGAGTCTGAGGTGGCAGTCGCCCTCGGTGCAGTGTGAGACTTCCCTGAAGCCTTGACTCTGAACAGACATGCGCCCTTTGCCCTGAGCCTGCCCTCATCCAAACAGGACAAATGCACACACTGTTTACAATTTAATAAAGCTTGCCCGGGGACCAGAATGCAAAGCCAGCCACACTAGTTAGCCACAGAAGCTGGACAGTGGTGGTGCATCCTTTAGTGCCTGGACTCAGGAGACAGAGGCAGATGGATCTCTGTGAGTTCAAGGCCACCCTGGGCTGCACGAGAGTGAATCAGTCTAAAGGAGAAACAGAGCTCACACCTTTAATCCCAGCACTAGGGAGGTACATAAGGAAGAAGCCAAGGGTCTCATGTGAGATTCAGTTTCCAGTCACAGGAAGACAGGATCTCCATTTCAGCCTTGGTAGAGGTAGGAGCTACTGGCTGGCTGCTTTGCTTCTCTGATCTTCAGCTTGAACCCCAGTATCTGTCTCTGGGTTTTTATTATTTGTGCTATAGCAGCATACTGAGTGACACACCTCCACTCAGGTTCACAACTACTGTGTGCTAGGGATTGCAGTGGGTTTTTTTTTCTGTCCGTGCAATGCTTTCTGCTCTTACAGAAACATATAATGGTTTAATAATGGAAACAAAGACATTTTCCTACTGTCACTGTTCAGCATGTATCAAATTAGTGTATCTTCAGATTGAACTGTTTTAGGATGTTTGATTTTTTTTTTAAGTTCCTGATTTAGTCACTGACTAGATTTTCACAAGGAACAACCATTAAATAAATTTTGGCTTGACATCAGGACAGAATTTCCAGTAACTTCTGAGATGGCTGTAAACATCTGCCATTTTGTACTATGTATTTATACAAACATGGCTTTCTCAGCACTGATGATTATAAAATCAAAATATTGATGAACACTGAAGATGCTTTTTGGTATTGCAGCTCAAATATTCAGCTGATGCCTAATTCTTTATGTAAAAAACAAACAAGCATACTATCCTACTAGTATACAAATTCACCTTAGATTTCAATAAATGGTAGAAAATACATGTACAACAATTTGTTTAAGCTGTATTTCTTTAAGATTTTTTACCAGTAAATGTCTGGCTTATATACTTATTTTAAATACTTAGCTACTCAGAGTGGCATACAAATTTCCTAGGTGTTAAGGGTTTAGGGTAGAGAAAGGTTCTAACACAGCAGTGTTAGCACAGTGAGGTCATGGCCTCAGGAACTCCCCGCTACCTCCATCCGTAGAACTCTGGGAGTCAGGATGACACAAGCTTTCCATGAGGACTCACTGGCCCGTGTTTAGACCAAAGCTCCACAGCTCTGGCTTCCTTCTTGAAAATTGTAACTAAGTAACGTAAGTTGGGACCGTTGGTTTTGCTGGAAACCAGCCACCCTATAAAGAATGCTATGATCATCAGTTCTCAGAAGGGCTTTCTCCTCCTGTAACTGTCAGCATCTCTTCCTGCGTTCAGGGTCCTCTCACACCAGGCACTCAAGGACTAGTCCAGCTCTGACCACAGATTGTCACAGCGGGGGTGGGGTTGGTAGGAGTCATCACAGAACACTCTGGAAGTCCTCGTGAGTCATCTCACAGGAATGCACCTTCAAGATGACAGAGTCTTAATCTATACTCCTCTGGTTCTTTTCTTCAGGAAGCTGCAAGCATGGTCTAATATTGATGATACAGAGTATAATTCAGGATAATTAAGTTGAATCCTGTCTCATACTTGGCAAGTTCCCACCAATTTCACTCCTGGGAGTCATCGGCAAATTGGATGACTCATTTGTTCCTTTAAAACTATTTCTCGTAGCTGTGAGAAGTGGCAAACGATGTACTGAGTCTCTACATTCTCTTTGCTCTCATCCAGTCACCTGGGCTGGGGATAAAAACCGCAGCGGCTTCATGAACAGACCAAGGCGGCCCTCAGGCTAACACAGACCACACACAGCCCGTTTCGGAGCTAAACCGAGTCCTCTAAAAGTCCATTCTGCTTATTGCTCCCTTGGGTGCATCTGTGCAGGCTGCCTCACAGGGTTTTATGAAATTGACACAGGCTCTCTTTAATTAAACTGCAATCCCAAGAACCTAACACAGCCTTACAAAGTGACTTTGCCACACGGTTGAGAGTCGGCAAGCTGTGCCCTGTTGGGATTCCATTTGGCTTCTCTCTAAAATTCAAAGCCAAGCCAGCTTACCCAACAACTATAGCATTACTTATGATAGTTTAGATAATAAGACAAATTGTTTAAAAGGGGCAAGAGTCTCCAGCACACATACCAGGGAGTGACGGGGAAAGTCCGTGCAGCTGAACTTAGAAGCCACTTAACACGGCATCACCTAAGCCTAGAATGGTGGCGATATAATTGGAACCTCTTTTTTTTAAAATCTCCTCCTCCTCCCTCTGTTGTCTCCTCCTCAAGGACCCTAAGCACAGGGAACTCCCAGACACCAACTCCTTCCCCACAATGCCTCCCTGGGAACAGACCTCCTCCTACTTCAACTTCCATCCTTGAGCAAAGGATTCTCAACCAGTGATCTCTGTCCCCGATGCTGCGACCCTTTAATACAGTTCCTCCTGTTGTGGTGACCCCAACCATAACACTATGTCCATTCATAACTGTAAATTAACTACGGTTATGAATTGTAATGCAAACATCTGATATTCAGGATATCTGACATGCGACCCCCAGTGGCAGGGTCGTTTGCAAAGGGGTCTTGGCCCGCAGGTTGAGAACCGCCGGTCGGGTCGATAGTGTGTCCTGCAAGCTTGAGACCGTGGCTGTAACTGAGCAGGGGACAGACAGCATGCCCTCCTGAAATGCAGCCTCTTCCAGCAGCCCCATCCTCTGGGCTCCTCTGTGATAATTCCACCCCCCTCCAAAAGGCTCCTGAGAGAGGCTTGTTTCCCCGCCTCAGATCTCTGACAACATCCATTCTCTCACTCGTACACCAGCATTTTCAGGCGGCCAGGCTAGTGCCTCAGCAAACGTCTTTGGGGATCCATCCCTCCCCATAACATCTTGCTTTGGCGTTGCCCCTCCTACAGGGAAGCAATTTTATTAAAATGGTGCTGTGTCGCCAGGAAAAGAATTCACTGAAGAACCCAGGGCAGTCTGGATTCCAATCAGTGGAGCAGACAGACGAACAAATCATGGTTTGGTGAGTCAGCAGGGCTGGCACTACGGTGGGCTAGACCAGTCATCACTGGCGATTTATCACCAAGCGAGAACAAAGGTCATTGAGTAAAGAATTTTACACACGCTTTTAAAGACACCAAGAGAGGGCTCACGAAACAGGACTATTAAGTTGACTCTCAGAAAAGGGGAGAAGAATTGACTTTTATACTCTTGTCAATCAGCTCACTTAAAAAAATTTCCTTTTAGGTGTGATAACAGGCACAGAACATCTGATTACCATCTTAGTCATTTTTAATTGGACAGTTCTGAGGCATGTGTACGGATGTACACAGAGTGGTAGTCTACAGTTCATTGGTGTATGTGGATCCACACAGTTGTGGTAGTGATATACCATCCACCCACAGGATTCAAAGAATGGAGCTTTTTTTGAAAAGCTGGAACTCGGCATCCATGAAGCAAGAACTCCTTTCCCGGGTCCCTCCACTTTCCCAGACACCCCCCCCAATTCTGCTTCCTTCCCGGTGAACCTAACTTCTCAAAGCACCCCCACATCAGTGGAAGCTCACATTTAAGATAACAACGTATTAAAAACATGG